TTTTTTTTTTTTTTGGTTGTTTTGTTTGTTTGTTTAGCAGGCCTGGGCTGGGATAGAACCCACCAGGCCTGGTACATGTGGCTAGCACCCTAACCACTGAGCTGGGTGCCAAGCTGGGACAGTGTTTCATTTGAGGAGGACAGAAGTGGAAGTGACCTGGAGATGATGGTAGGAACGTCCTGAGCCCTTGTGCCTGGTCATTAGAACAAGGAGTTGCATGTTGTATTTTCCCACAATTAAAAAAAATTAAGTATGTGGGCTGTGTGCTGTTTTTGATTTCAAGGTGACTCACAGAACTGCATGGATTTTTTTTTTTTAAGTGAGGAAAAGGGAAAACTGTGGGCAGTAGGCAAGGCTGGACCTTAACAAGCCCCTGAGGCACCCAGGAGGCCCCAGGCTGTGGGCAGGGTGGTGGGGACACTGGTGGGTGACATCAGAGGTGAAAAGAAAGGACAGATGTCCTTCAAAGTCACTTTAAAGAGAAACTGTGTGGCCAAACATGGTGGCTCACTCCTGTAATCCCAGCTCTCTGGGAGGCAACCAGGAGGATCGCTTGAGGCTAGGAGTTGAAGTCCAGTCTGGGCAACATATTGATACCCCATCTCTACTAAAAATAGAAAAAATAGCCGGGCATCGTGGCAGGTGCCTGTAGGCCCAACTACTCAGGAGGCTGAGGCAGGAGGATTGCTTGAGCCTGGGAGTTTGAGGTTGCTGTGAGATACGATGACTCTATCTCACTCTAGCCTGGGTGACAGAGTGAAAAAAACAAAAAAAGAAAAGTTGTGACAATTTTCTCCCAATGCTGAGAAAACACCTGTTACGCTTCATACCCCTTGGTAAGTTAAAAGCTTCCTATTCTGAAAACAGGGAAGATACACCAAGGCAGGGCCATTATAACGATAAAACAACCCCACAAAACCCCACTTTCCCTCCATGAGATACAATTCTGTCTAGAGGGTTGGGGTCCAGTGGGCTGTTTCTGAGGCACTATGATTCAGACACACCCAAATTTTGAAATTTGTAACATTGTGAGAGATGATAATGCCTCTTTGCCACTTGTCCCTTTAAACTTTCAATTCACTACTGACCTCCTAAAGAAGGTCCCCGTGCCTGCTTACACCACGTGGCCTGAGCCCACCTGTCACAGCTCCCACCTGGCCTGGCTCCCACCTGGCCCGGCACCCACCTGGCGTGCTCCTCCGGCAGCTTCCTCTGTCTCTGCATGTGGAACATGAGGTCCCCCCCATTGACGTACTCTATGACCAGGAACAACCTGAGGAGAGAGGGGTGATGGCAGGAGGAACTCTCTGCAGCAGAGTCAGCCTCTCTTAGACAAGGGGTTGGCAAGAAGCCATTCCGGACTGGATGCTTCCCAGGAAATTCCCTCTCACAGAAGCCTGCATGGAACACGGGGTGGGGGGCAAAGAGCTGTGGGGACTCCCTGGAGTCAGAGAGGGGCTGATGTAGGCAGGCAGGTGTCCAGGCCAGGGGTGAGGGGGACAGGTGAGGAATCATGTGGTGATAGTCTGGTAGTTGACAGCTCTTGGCCACTGTGTCCAGGTGGACCCCAGGAAGGGAAGGGCAGGGGGCCCAGGAGTGAAGGCACCACCCTGTCTTCAGGGGGCACAGGAGTGGAGGGCAGATGGGGCTCAGGCCAGCGGTGGAGCTGGGCAGAGGTGGACACCTGGGAAAACATGGAGCTGGTGGGAGTCTGGGTCAGAGCCCAGACTGTTTCTAGCATGGGCACCACCACAGACCGAGAGTCCTGGCCCAGGATGGTGTGTCTGATGCCTCTAGCCCTCTAAGTGGACAGCGCAGGGGCTGCTGCGGAGGTGTGTGTGTCAGGCTTTCAGGTTTCATCATCACATCGTACACCAAGAACTGGCATCCAGGGATGCCACTGGACCACTCACAGGGCCCAATGCATCTTGAGACAATCAACTGTGTGGTTCCTTTTACTAACAAGATCTTTCCCGCACTTAATGAGATTCAATTTTCAAAATTAAGTTCACACACAATTTCCCAGAAATACCCTGCTGAGGGCACTTGACCAGTTTTTAGGTCAAGGCTCCTCTGGCTCCAGAGATGTCCCTTTGCCTCTGGAATATCCTTGGCGAGTGGGGAGTGAGTGAGGGACGGGCAGACCACGTCCACGCATTTCCCCAGTGCCAGAGTCTGGCGTGGTCCTGTAGCACGTGAGCGCCATGCCCCTGCCCTCCCTACATTGGGGGTGGGGGTGGAGGACGATTTCCACAAGCACTGAAATGGCTACAGGTCACCTAAGAGGTTTTCAAGTATGTGTTTAGACTAGAAGCAGCTCCTATGTACATATGCAGCTCTCAACACACACACACAGACTCAGAACACAGGCCTGAGCACCCGGCATTTCCACTTGGCCAGTTGGGGCCAGGGCACCATCCCAATGGGATACTCACACTTGGGGGCAGGGCTAGATGTGCCTTTTTATCTTCATGCCCCTGAAATGTGTGCTTTGGAAATTCTGCAGTAACCTCGACTGGCTGTGGCTGCTCGTTTCTGAACCAAGTGCTCCTGGAACGGGAGTTCAGCCTTGCTCTCTGCTGTGCCTGCTGCCTGTGGCACCCAAGTGTGGGCAGAGGCCATGCAGTCCATAGGCCACTCGTGCCAGGCGTGGCCTGACCTTGACCCTGCACTCCCTCACCTGACATGAGGGTGTTCTGTGAAAGTCACCCAATCCATGGAGGATACCTAAGACCTAAATATTACTCAGAAAGGTCATTAAAAGGATTTATTCAGGCCAGGTGCAATGGCTCACATCTGTAATCCTAGCAATCTGGGCAGCAAAGGGGGGTGAATTGCTTTAGCTCAGGAGTTTGAGACCAGCTTGAGCAAGAGCAAGACCCCGTCTCTACTAAAAATAGAAAAACTAGCTGGGCACTGTGGTGGCCACCTGTAGTCCCAGCTACTCATGAGGCTGAGGCAGGAGGATCACATGAAACCAGGAGTTTGAGGTTGCTGTGAGCTATGATGCCACCGGGGAACAGAGTGAGATTCTGTTTCAAAAAAAGGAAAGATTTTAAAACTCTTAAAATAGGACTGATATTTTTTGCAGGTAACAGGAATTTCGTACCCCCAAGAGTGGCTCCCACCAGACCACTCCCGACACATCCTGAGAGATGCTCCCAGGAGTGTGCTGGAGCCTGCTTACACTTGGCCTCTTCCACAAGCATAGAAATTGGATTTTATCCCAGAAGCAACTGGGAAAGTAATCAGAGGAGCTCTGGAGCAGGAGAAAGACACCTCAAATGTGTGTTCTGTATACACGGCTTAGTTCTAACGTGAGGGGATCCATGTCGTTAGGAATCCCTAAGTTCAGAAGTCTACCTCTCTCACTCACCTGGTAACCCCAGCACCTGACTCAATGCCTGCATTTGGTAAATATTTCATAAGCAGAATTAAATACCTTAAGTTCAGATTATTAAATTTATCTACTATGATACCAGCCAATGAGAGCAACACAGAGAACTGCCCGGATGACAGCTGACACCTCAGGCCAGACATGCTTCCTGAGCTTCAAATCCTAAGTAAGCAGAACATCAGAAACACCTTGCTTTTCCTTACCGACTTGTCGTCTGGAAGCAGGAGTGTAAGCCGACCAGGAAGGGGTTGCTGGATGCCTGCTCAAACACGTGCTTCTCTGTCTGTACCCAGTCGATGTCCTGAAATAGAAACCAGGGCGTGTTAATGAGGCTCCTGAACACTCTTCACTGGCATCCTGGGGAAGGGGGAGGCAAGAGAGGAAAGGCTTTCTTCTCTGCTTTTGGGAAGACAATGCAGAGAGAAGATGTATTAGGGAATGCATCATTACCACAGTCTCCACCCACCCCCATGCCCACCTCCACCACTATCATCGTCACCATCACCATCATCCATCCAACCCACATCCACCTCTATCACCATCATCACTGCTATCAATCATCCATCCACCCCACATCCACTTCCACCACCATCAATCATCCATCCACCCCACCTCCACCACCACCATCATCATCACCATCATCACCACCATCGATCATCCATCCACCCCACCTCCACCACCACCATCATCATCACCATCATCACTGCCATCGATAATCCATCCACTCCACTTTCACCATCATCACCACCATCAATCATCCATCCACCCCATCTCCACCACCACCATCATCATCACCATCATCACTGCCATCGATAATCCATCCACTCCACTTTCACCATCATCACCACCATCAATCATCCATCCACTCCACTTTCACCATCATCATCACCATCGATAATCC